CTAATGGCAAACGGATAAACAACATTAATATAATTTCTAGCAAAACTATCAGTTTTCAAAGGTGAAAACTATCAACGATGGGTGGCACAAATGAAGGTTATTTTCAGATTTCAAGATGTTGTAAAAATCTTGAATGATGGAATATCACAACTAGAAGTGAATGCTGCAGAAGCCCATACAGCCGTGCACAAAGACTAGAGGAAGAAAGATGGTAAGACAGTATTCTTGATTCACCCGTGTGTGGATTGTGATGTATTTGAGAAGATAATCGAAGAAGAAACAACAAAAGGAGCTTGGGAAAAGCTGAAGTCCTTGTATGATGGAGATGAGAAATTGAATAAAGCGAAGTTGCAGACTTTAAGAAAGCAGTATGAGATGCTGCAGATGAAAGAGCATGAATCTGTTTCTACATATTTCTCAAGAGTTGTAGCGCTAACAAACCAGATGAAGGCGTGTGGTGAAGCGCTAACGGATCTGCAGAAGATAGAAAAGGTATTAAGATCTTTAATTGCAGACTTTGATTACTTTGTTGTAACAATTGAAGAGGCCAATAATCTATCTGAGATGAAGTTAGAAGAACTTCAAGCTTCTTTAAAGGCTCATGAAATGAGGCTGCAACAAAGAAACTCAGAAAGGGAGAAAGCAGTTGAACAAGCATTGCAATCAAGATTCAACAAGAAAGCTGGAAAAGAGAAATCGAAGCAGCGAAAGAATCTTGCTGGTGATGAGAAGTCAAGCAAGAATACTGATTCAAAAGGAGTGGGCAACAAGTATTCTGGGAAGAAAGTTGACACGAAAGAGGTATAATATTACAATTGTCAAGGTTTTGGCCACTATGCTAGAGACTGTTGAAGAAAGAAAGCTGCAAAGTCGAAAGATAGTGATGAAGCTCAATATGCACGAGCTGGAAGTAGTGATTCTGATGATGTGGTGTTGCTGGTGAACACTCAATCGAACACTTAGAAAAATAACATGTGGTATATGGATTTAAGATGTAGCAACCACATGACTGGAAATAAAAACTGGTTTACCAAGTTAGATGAGTCAGTCGAAAAGGTGATAAAGTTTGCAGATGGCAGACATATAAAATCAGGTGGTAAAGGAGATATTTTGATTATCAAAAAGGATGGTTGAAGGGCTACTATCACTGAAGTTCTATATGTACCTTTGATGACAAGTAACTTGATAAGTGTAGGTCAATTACTTGCAAAAGGCTTCAATATGAAGTTGGAGAATAATCACATGAAAGTATATAGGGTTGATAAGAGGCTAATCATGAAAGCACTATTGGCAGAGAATAAAACCTTCAAAGTCGAACTCAACACATCAGATAACAAATGTCTTGCTTCAACTACAGAAGAAGACAAGAACTGGCTATGACATCACAGGTATGGACATCTAAACTTCAAGAGTTTATGTATGCTCAATCAGAAAAGAATGGTGCTTGGGTTTCTGTATATGAAGGAACCAAAGCAGATATGTGAAGAATGCTGCAAAGCTGAACAGGCAAGAAAGGAATTCAAACGTGACTTGCCTATAAGACCAAGGCAAAAACTGGAGTTGGTTCATTCAGATGTGCGTGGACCCATTGAAGTAAAGTCTAATTGAGGTAATAGGTATTTCCTTACTTTCATTTATGAATTCACCAGACATATGTGGATTTACCTTATTGAAAGGAAGAGTGAGGTATTCACACATTTCAAGTTGCATGCTGAGAAACAAAGTGGCTGTAAATTGAAGAAGTTAAGAACTGATGGTGGTGGTGAATATGCTTCTACTGAATTTGCCAGATTTTGCAATGAGGAAGGTATAGAGCATGAGGTTGTTGCATCCTATACGCCTCAACATAATGGCATAGCTGAGAGAAAGAATAGAAGTGTACTGAACATAACAAAATGTATGTTGAAAGCTAAGAATATGCCTAAGAGATTTTAGGTTGAAGCAACTTCGACAACAATATACATTCTAAATAGATGCCCAACAAAGAAAATGGTCGAAAAGACACCACATGAGGCTTAGACAGGGTCGAAGCCAAATGTAAGTCATCTTAGAATTTTTGGATCAACGTGTTTCAGGCATGTACCTGAATAATTGAGAAAGAAGTTGGATGATCAAAGTGAAGTCATGGTGCTCATAGATTATTATTCGACTGGTGCATACAAGTTGTATTCACCAATTGAAGATAAACTAGTGATCAGTAGATATGTTCTTGTAGAAGAAAGCAAAGGGTGGGATTGGAGTCGAAGTTCAGTTCGACAAGAATCAGACACAGTCACAATTATGTTCGAAGAAGATGAAAAGAACGAAGCTTCGACAGGTCAAAATGAACAAGGCGATACTTCAAATGATCGAAATGAAGAACCACCTATGCAGAATGAAAGAAGATCCACAAGAACAAGAACTAAGTCGACTAGGCTGATTGGATATGAGAGGTTTCCAGATCAAGCAATTGACGCTGATGGTGAATTAATCGAAGAAGCCATGATGATGGATGAAGCAAAACCAATTGACCTGGGTGAAGCCTTGAGCAATTTGAATTGGTGTGAAACCATGAAAGAAGAACTTAGAGCCATTGAGAAGAACAACACTTAGGATCTTGTCGAAAGAACTAACAAGAAACCAATTGATGAGAAATGGATCTACAAGGTGAAACGAATGTCAAATGGTGAGATTGCAAAGTACAAGGCAAAGACTGGTGGCCAGAGATTTTCTATAACAACCAGGTATTGACTTCGATGAAGCATATGCGTCTGTTGCAAGGATCGAAACAATTAGGATTGTTGTTTCAATAGCTGCATATAGAGGATGGAAAATGCACCAACTTGATGTAAAGTCAGCATTTTTGAATGGTCCATTGGAAGAAGAAGTCAATGTTACTCAACCACCAGGTTTCAATGTCAAAGGGCAGGAGTCGAAAGTGTACAGATTAAGGAAGACTCTCTATGGCTTGAAGCAAGCTCTTAGAGCTTGGAATAAAAGGATAGATAGCTTCCTAATCGAAGCAGGTTTCACAAAGTGTGTCTCTGAACATGGAGTGTATGTAAATGATGTTAGAAGTGTTAATCGAATCATTTTATGCCTCTATGTTGATGACTTACTCATTACAGGAGTAGACGAAGCTGAGATAATGAAGGTAAAGTCGAAGTTAATGCAAGAATTCGAAATGTCTGATTTAGGGAATCTCTCCTATTTCTTGGGAATGGAATTCAAAGACATCGAAGAAGGAGTGTTCTTACATCAAACGAAGTATGCTCAAGATATATTGAAGAGGTTCAATATGAGCAACTGTAAGGCAGCCGTTACTCCATTAGAGACTAGAGCAAAGCTGAAAAGGGAATTGAATGATGAGTTTGTAAGTTTGACTCTTTACAAACAAATCATTGGATCCTTGAGGTATCTTTGCAATACTAGACCAGATATCTGTCAAAGTGTAGGATTGTTGAGCCGATTTATGGAGAAGACTCAAGAATGTCATTTTATTGCAGTAAAGAGGGTGTTGAGATACATAAAGGGAACTATTGATCATGGTGTGCGGTTACCAAAGAAATCGAAGAACAACACAAATGTCGAAGTTCATGGATACACTGACTCAGACTTCAGTGGAGATCAAGATGAAAAGAAGAGTAATGCAGGATACATTTTCATGATCGAATGAGCTCAAATCTCCTAGAGTTCGAGGAAGCAAAGCATTGTAGCTTTGTCATCATGCGAAGCAGAATATGTGGTTGCATCATATGTTGCATGCCAAGCAGCATGGATCGAAATGCTGCTTGAAGAACTCAAAATAATAGAATCGAAGATGAAGCTGTTTGTTGATAACAAGTCAACTATAAACCTTGCAAATCACCCAATGTGTCATGGTCGAAGTAAGCACATTGAACGAAGGTATCATTTTCTGAGAGATCAAGTCTACAAAGGGAAGCTTGAAATAAAACATTGCAAGACAAAAATGCAACTAGCTGACATATTCACCAAACCTCTGAAGAAAGTGAGGTTCGAAGAGTTAAAGAAAGGCATTGGGATGAGAAGTCATGATAACATGAATTAAAGGAGTGTGTTAGTTGGTTAATTCTTATTATGTAGTTATTTGGACTTTTTAACATGTATTTGGACCTGAGATATTTTACCTATATAAAGAGCCATTGTGTTTGTAATAGTAATCAACAATAATACAATTCAGTTTAGATAGTTAGTTACGCATAACTAACTCATCAATCCTCTGTCTCTCTCTCTCTCTCTCTCAAAATATCATCTCTCTTGAATCCTTTGTTTTAACATTCATTACAAATGAATACAATATTTATGATATATTATATTAAATCCTTTAATATAATCCTTAAGACTTGTGACCAAATTCTAGAGAGAGAGAAAATCTACAAAACTCCATTTCAATGCCTCCAAAAAATAAAAAACATATAAAAGGAAACGTGTTTTTGGAGGATTCACCGATTTCCAAAGCCAAATGGAAAAAATAAATTCAAATTGCTATGAATGAGTGTAACAACAAGCAATGATGAATCTCCTTATTAGCATTACTATCCATATATACACTCCCCTCTTCTATTATTTTTTAATTGTTATTTTTTTGACTTTTTATTCATATCAATAAAATTAATAATAATAATAATAATTTTTTAAACAAATTTTTTTTCTACTTATATTATTCATAACTTTTTATTATTTTAATTTGTTTTTTTCTTTAATTTGAAAATGATAAATTAAATTAAATTTTTTTTTTCATAAAAGTGACAATTAAAAAAAAATAGAAATAGAAGGAATAATGAATCGAAAGATTATGATAAACCCTGAAACACATATTATCATTTTCGCTACCACCTAAGACCCTTTTTGAGATATCCAAAACGACCACGTTTTTTATTGATTAAAGAAACCAGACAAAAAAAAAAAAGAGCACAAAACTCCAAAACACACACATTCCTTGCACACCTACCTCTACCGCTCAGCTACCTTATTATTACGAAATAGTTAGTTACTACAAAATGAGAAACTCATTCAAGACTTTTAACAAACACTTCACTTTCATTTCTTATGGTTTCATAACTTCTCCCACACACCTCACTTTCTCTCAATTCCGCTCATCATACTCCGGTAAGTTTTTTTTTTTTTTTATGGACTCCTCTCTCTTTCTATTATTGGTTCTTAACACTGGAAATTTGGTTTTGTACTTTTGTTCATTGAAAGTTTATGTGTTGTGTTTTTTGGTTCTGAGCACTTATCAGTTTATAGTAACTCCGGGTTGGCCTAGTGGTAAAGGTTTGAGTTTTAGAGTGTGTTTCAGGTCGTCTCGAGAGTGTGCCCCAGGTCTCAGGTTCGACTCCGGCTAGGTGTAAACAATTCTTGAGTTGGATCAAGTCCATACAAACCTTTGCCCTGGCTTTAAATGGGCCTCGCAAGTGGACGGTGGAATTTGTCCCTTTGATTTAGTTGGTTGCAAGGCCGAAAACCAAGATTTAAAAAAAAAAAATTATTGATTAGTAGTCCCTTGAGAAAAATGGCAAATAAATACTATGATAGCTCACTTTGCATATATTGCTTAGTTTCTTTCTACTAAATCCATTTGTAAGGCTATTTGATTGTTTTTTGTTTTTATATAGCGTCTCCATCTTCTACATTTATGGAGGTATTCAAAGCAATTGCTAAGCAAGACCTTGCATCCCATGGAAATGTTGCTATCAGAGCTGATCAGAAGAGCTATAGTTACAAGCAACTCATCTCGTCAGCACTAAAGATTTCTAATCTCTTATGTGGAAGTGATGCCAAAGTAATGAATTACAACTTGAAATTCCCTTAATATGCAGAAAATAGTTGTTTAATTAATTATTGGTGGCACCAAAATCCAGGGAAATCTTGCTGGAGCTCGAGTAGGAATTGTAGCCAAACCCTCTGCTGAATTTGTTGCTGGAATACTTGGGACTTGGCTTAGTGGAGGTGTTGCTGTTCCACTTGCTGTCAGCTATCCAGAAGTAGAGCTTCTGTATGTCATGAATAATTCGGTATGCTTTAGAAACCCTTCCTTTCTTATATTGCTCTCAATAGTACTCCCTTTCTTTTATTTGCTTAACATATGACTTGTGAACATTAGAGATGAGGATGTTGCGTTGGATTTGCGGTAAGATTAGACAAGATAAGAATAAAAATGACAATATTAGAGAGAGTGTTGGGGTAGCACCTATAATTGCAAAGATGGTGGAAAATCGACTTTGGTGGTTTGGGTATGAAGAGAGAAGACCTGTAGATTCTGTGGTAAGGAGAGTAGTTCATATGGACACGAGTCAAATAGCTAGAGGTAGATGAAAACCTAGGAAAATTATAAGAGAAATTATTAAGAAAGATCTCGAGATTACCAATTTGCATAAAAATGTTTAGAAATGTGGTTAGACCTAACTCATCCCTACAAAACCAGTTTGTAGGGTAAAGATTGCCCCCATTTATAAAGACATGTTCAAACTATATATTATCCGATGTGGGACTCTTAACAAAAAGCATGGCTTTGGATAGAACATTATGGCGGAAGTTGATCCATGTAGTCGACCCCACTCCGTGGGATAAAGCTTGGTTGTTGTTGTTCTATATGACTTGTGAACATTATGAAGTCAGGACTTCATCAATCTTCCCTTTACATTGTCTTTTCATCTTTTCAAACAGCTGATTTATATGTAGATTTTTGCGTATGTGAAAGTTAATGACCTCAGTACCTTATATGTTATAGAATTCATAATGTACCCCAAGGAAGAAATAATTGATTATATGTACAATTGTTGGGCTATTTGGTTATTCAGCATGATCTTTGTCCTTCACTTTTATTTTGTGGATTAAATCTTATTAGAAATTTGATTATCATTTGGCTATAGGACACATCTGCAATACTGAGTACTGAAGATCATAGTGAACTAATGCAAAACATTGCCAATAAAACCTCTTCAAATTTTTTTCATCTTCCACCTGTTGCTAATAATTCGTTAGATAAGAACAGAGATGAACATTCACAAAATGGAGAAATTGATGCAGCCAGAATTTTCCTGGAGAGTATTGAAAGATTAAGTATGAGTATCACATTTTCAGCCTTTAAAAATTGGATAGAGTATAAAATTTTGGTAGCAATTTTTTGGTACTTCTTTCTCATCATTTGTTTTTCTTATCCTTTGGCTTACTAAGGTGAAGACCCGGCACTCATTTTGTACACTAGCGGAACAACAGGTAAACCTAAGGGAGTTGTTCATACACACAGAAGCATCATTGCTCAGGTATGAGTTATGGTTTATCCAGTTACATTTAATGCTACCTCAAAAAGACAATTTTGATTACTTAAATAAATAATATTTTTAGTTCTATTCTTTTTTCAAGTTATCTTGGTAGGATAATCAAATTTTAATCATAACATAACACACTCTAGTCCTTGTTGATTTAACTATGTCAATCTGTTCCTATTTTTGTTTTTCTTTAATTTTTGTGTTCAAATTATCTTGATTTCAGATCCAATCATTGACAAAAGCGTGGGAGTACACTTCTACGGATCAGTTTTTGCATTGTCTCCCGCTGCATCATATCCATGAAAGTTTTTTTGTTTGCGTTATTCAATATTTTTGTAGTTAGGGAACATATTACTAGTATTTTGTATATTTTCTGTTTCTCTATGATTTGGGATATCTTTATGATGTCAATCCTTAACATACATGATATACATGTCCATGGGCTTTTCAACGGTTTACTGGCCCCTCTCTATGCAGGTTCCACGGTAACTTACTCATAGCAAATACGATTAGTCAACAAAGTGTTAATTTTGGTTCAAGTGATCGTAAAATATGCAGTATCCATTTTAAATATATAATTGTGTGTGTGCTAAGAATCTAATTGTCTCGTTGAAGGTTGAGTTTTTGCCGAAATTTAGTGTCAGGGGAGTTTGGCAGAGATGGCGCGAGTCATATCCAAATGAAGGGTCTAAGGCTGATGATGCTATAACAGTATTCACTGGAGTAAGTGTGATTCTTTTTTTATTCTTGAAAACTTGTGATTTTCACATTTCATGCACTTAATACCAATATGCATACTAACTAGAAAACTTGTCGTGTGGGACTTCATCATGTTTAAATAATTTTTAATTGAAGGTTCCAACTATATATGCTCGATTAATTCAAGGTTATCGTGCGATGGATCCCGAGCTACAAGCTGCTTCAGCATCGGCTGCAAAGAACTTGCGTCTAATGGTAACTTACTGTTCCGTGCATCAAGCGTTTTAGTCTCTTGAAAGAATATCAATTTTCTGAAAATGACGATTATTATTTACTTTTGTAATTTGATTTACTCGGCGTGGCAATTTACCATGCATGGGCTCGCTGCAATTAATGTTATGTATGCAGTGACTACTGACTCAATGGCATAAATCTGATATACTATCATGCTATTATTATTCAGATGTGTGGGTCCTCGGCACTTCCTCAACCTGTTATGCTAGAATGGGAAGCCATCACCGGGCACCGCTTATTGGAGCGATATGGCATGACTGAAGTAAGTACACCCTTTTTTAAGTTCACTGACTTCCTAAAAAATCTTATGTATTGTATTTTACTCCAATTCTCATTTTGTAACAATTTCTTATATGAATCTTACATTTCTGTATCAATGTTTCTAGTTTGTCATGGCATTGTCAAATCCATTGAAAGGTGAGCGTAAGGCAGGCACAGTTGGAAAACCACTGCCAGGCGTGCAGGTTAGTTGAACTTCCCCTTTTCCATTTGCTATTGGTCATAGAATATGGGCTTGTTGATCTCTCAGTTCCACTGTCGCATAATCTGTTTACATGATCAGACCCTCTAAACAATAGTCTTGATGATTTTTGTCATATGGTCCGGGCACAAGTTTCTAACAACACTCAATAAAGTAATTTTCTGTATGCATAACAGGTCAAGATTCTTTCAGATGGGGAGAATTGGAGTGAAAAAACAGGAGCCGGCGGCGAGCTTTGCGTTAAAAGTCCTTCACTGTTTAAAGAATATTGGAAACTTCCAGAGGTGCTTTCAGAATGTTATTGTTTTTACATCTAATGATTCTGTAATCATCAACTAGATTTTATTTATTTCCATGTAGGTAACGAAGGAATCATTTACGGAAGAAGGATTCTATAAGACTGGAGATGCCGTTACAACAGATAAAGATGGATATTACATCATTCTAGGACGTAAGGAAATCTACATTTTTCTACGCATGTTGTATGGTTCTCATGCATAATTATGTGTAAATTTATATTTCCAGGACATTAACCTTGATCCAGATCTTTTCAGTTTTCATACAAATCTTTCAGCATGAGTAAAAACAATGCTTGAAGTGTTATCAGCGATTTGTCAAAGAAACAATATTTTTAGATTGTGGTGGAAATAATACATTTTGTGTTCATTCTCTACTATTTATCAGGTACTAATGCGGATATCATCAAGGCCGGTGGCTATAAGCTGTCTGCATTAGAAATCGAATCAGTTATAATAGAGGCAAGTGGCTACCATTTTCTCAATCTATGGTTTTCAGTCCTCATGTAGTTATATGATTTGAATGATATGACATTTCACAACCAAAACCTTTTTGCAGCATCCAAGTGTCTCAGAATGTTGTGTCTTGGGCTTACCACACAAAGAATATGGAGAAATTGTCGGTGCAATTGTCGTGCCAGAGGCTGATATTAAACGAAAGCAAGATGAAGAATCAAAGCCGGCTCTAAGCCTAGAAGAATTATCCACCTGGGCCAAAGATAAACTTGCACCTTACAAGGTACGATGGCATGGTCATTGTGCTGAATGCTCGCCCGAGGAACTAGTTCACGTTACATTTTGAATCTGATGCACTTATTTATCTTACATTCATCATAGCTATAGGAGTTTTAAAGTAAATTTCATTTAATAATTTGTTTATATCTTTGTTAGATACCAACTCGACTAATCGTGTGGGACTCACTCCCCCGCAATGCAATGGGAAAGGTAAGTTACTTTTGCACCAATGCCATAATAATCACATGTCATTTACCTTTTCATCGCAAAGTGTTTGGATCCTCTGTATTGGAGAGTCTTTGCGTTTCGAGGAGAGTCTAAAACAACTATATTTGCTCCAATCCAACATTTGCATTCAATATGACATACTTTCTTTCAAACGAAGTTTTTTTAGAAAGATCTTCGCATTGGATTAAGAACAACCGCGTATATGGTTTGGACACCACATTTTTGTCTAAAATCTTTATCTAACCTAGGACATCTTACTCCCACTTGGCATTCCGACACAGCCACCGCATAGGATCCGATTCTACGTCTTTTTGTAAGGAAAATTAACTATTCTTTGTTTGAAATTTCAGGTCAGTAAAAAAGAGCTGAAGAAGTTTCTAGCTCCGGAACAGTAAAAAAAGTGCTGTCTATGTAACTAGTCATGTATATCAATGATAAATAATAGTATTGTTTTGAAATAATTAGTTTCCATAAGGCGATTAAGAAAAATCTTCATCCTTAGAAACTGGATGTGATATCTTAAACTCCAAACCTTTATAAATAAGGAATTACAAAAAGTATATAAGTTATGCAGTGGTTTTAGAAACAACTTATAAACTTTTATTTTTGTTTCAAAGGCTCAAAATACTACAGTTTACGTTTTCCCAAATCACTTTACAAAATTTTCAAATAGTGGTTTGTTTTGGGTAATAAAAAAATTGAGGATTACTTTTCCTACACTTAGGGATGTTTACACATTCTTGTGAAAAACAAAAAAGTGCACTTCAATCCACACACAATCCATTTGTAAGTGAGCAACACCCTTATTTTTGATAAAATAATACGGAAATGCATCTCTGTAACAACTTAAGGAAATATATCAGACAAAATTTTAATCAAATATGTGCTAGACCTTCCACATTTCTAGCAAAAACACTCTAAATCACTCAAGCTTTTCTATTCAAGTGCATTTTCTACTCCACTCATTCCAAGTAGTTTTTCTACTCCATTCAATCCAACTGATTCAATTTCCTTTGCAGATTTGGTAAGTTTTTCAATCCAATTTTTTTATTTTCTCTATATGCATTAAGAAATAGGAACATTAGGTTGTGTAATCCACATTACTATATAGGTAGTTACACTTATTGTTAGGTTATTACACATAGCATTGTGCTTTGTCCATTGCGCTATCCCATTTTCATACCATGCGTTTTTGCCATTTTTGCTTTTCTGAGTTGCGAAAGTACGGAAGTGAACTTTCGTATTGTTTTAGAATTTGATTTTTCAGGAATACAGAAGTGTATTTTAGTATTTTGTCTGTCTGCATTATTTGGTTTGATTTTGAATGTCTCTGATCCGGGTTTGATTTTTTTGGCTTTGTTTGGCTCGCCTACTTTAATTATTGTTAAATTGTAATTCATAGGTGTCAAAAATAAGATTTGATTTGTTTAGATTTAAATAGATTTGAATTTAAATCTAGATTAGATTTGATTTAGTAAAGAGATATTTTGGGCTTGGGTTTTAGCTTAGGGAGCAAGCTAACCTAAATCTATAAATAGAGGGAGTAACCCCATATTTTTGTATTCAAGTCATTGAACTCATTCACAGTATTTTGCAGTTGCAAAGTTAATTAATAAAGTTTCCACAGTTTGTGGGCAGAGAGAAACTCTGCAGAAATAATTCTATTGTCTTTTCTTAGTTTGTTTCATAACTAATCATCAGTGGTGGTCGAAATTCATCATAGAGTATTGGTGGATTTCCAACATCTGGTATCAAGAGCTTGTGTTTCGATTCAAGGGAAGTATCAATCAAGAACGATTGAAGAATTCACGATGACAAGTTATGGGAATGCAAACTATCCAGCAACGCTGCCAATTCTGAAAGTTGACAACTATGAGAATTGGTGCAAGCAGATGAAAGTCCTATTAAGGTGTCAAGGCCTTTGGGACCTTGTAAAAGATGGAGTCGAAGCGCTTGGCGAAAACGCTTCAGAAGAAGAAAAGAAGACATATACAGAATCTGAGAAGCAGAGTTATAAAGCATTATTTATAATTCATCAATGTGTCAGCCCAGACAACTTCGAAAAGATTAGTGATTCAGAATCTGCAAAAGAAGCTTGGGAGATCCTTGAGAAGTCTTTTGGAGGCGCTGAGAAGGTGAAAGAAGTGAGGTTACAAACTCACAAAAGAACCTATGAACTGCTTCAGATGGAAGACAGTGAAAACATATCTGATTTCTTCACTAGAGTTACAAAACTAGTGAATCAAATCAAAACATGTGGAGAAACATTAACAACAAGAGTTGTTGTTTCGAAGATCCTGAGATCCTTAGCCCCGAAGTTCGACCACATAGTGGTGGCGATAGAAGAAGGGAAAGACTTGTCGAAATTGACAAAGGAAGAGCTTCAAGGGACGCTCGAATCTCATGAACAAAGAATGAACGAAAGAGCTGCAGGAAAATCGAAGAGTGATGTAGCCTTGCAGGCACATTCAGCAAAAGAGACCAAAGGCAAAGGAAAGTATTTCGACAGAAGTAGAGGTGGCTACAACAAATCGAATGGCAGAGGAAACCAAATCGAAGGAGACGTGTCGAATCAAAGAAGACCACACCAAGGCAACCAAAGAGGTGGTGCTGCAAACAGAGGAAAAGGTGGTGGTCGAAAACCTGATAAGAGTCACATTCAATGTTATAACTGTCAGAAGTATGGTCACTATTCGAGTGATTGTCCAGAAAAACGAAAGAATCAAGAAAGTGATGCAAAGCTGGCAAAACATGAAGAAGAAGAAGAGATGATGCTGATGGTCACAACAAGAGATGAAGACAGATTCAAGGACCAATGGTACTTGGATTCAGGATGTTCATCACATATGTCTGGAAGGAAAGACTGGTTCGTCAATATAAAACCCTCAACGAAGAATATGGTAAAATTTGCAAATGACAACACCCTAGCAGCTGAAGGTATTGGTGATGTTATGATCATGAGGAAAGATGGCAAGAAGTCAGTAATTTCGAATGTATTATACATACCAGGCATGAAGAGCAATTTGCTCAGTATAGGGCAGTTGGTCGAAAAGAATTATAAAGTATCAATCGAAGATAAGTTGATGAGAGTTGTTGATGCAAATGGGAGAGTAATCTTGAAGGCTCCTATGTCTCAGAATCGAACCTTCAAGATTGAACTAAATGTGATGGAGCACAAGTGCCTTTCGACTGCAGCTAGCAGGGATGAATGGATATGGCATTATAGACTTGGTCATCTCAACTTCAGAGACATCAGAGATTTGAAGAGAAGAAATATGGTTTCAGGATTGCCTGAAATTGACATTCCAAACGAAGTATGTGAAGAATGTGTGCAGGCGAAGCAACACAAGAACAGCTTCAGCAAGGATGCAGGAAGCAGATCGAAGGCTAATCTCGAAGTCATATACTCTGATGTATGTGGACCAATTCAGGTGGATTCAATGGGAGGTAACAAATACTTTGTTACATTCATAGATGATTTCAGTCGAAAGCTATGGACTTACCTGATCAAGAAGAAAAGTGAAGTGTTCGAAGTATTTATCAAGTTCAAGTCCATGGTCGAAAGACAAAGTGGTCGAAAGCTCAAAGTTTTGAGAACTGATGGTTGAGGAGAATATGTGTCGAAAGATTTCGACAGATTATGTGAAAAAGAAGGGATTGTGCATGAGGTGGTGCCACCCTATACTCCACAGCAAAATGGAATTGCAGAAAGGAAAAATCGAACCATCATGAACATGGTGAGAAGTATGTTGAAAGGCAAGAATTTACCCAAAGAGTTCTGGGGTGAAGCTGTTTCGACTGCAACATACATTTTGAACAGAAGTCCTACAAAAAAGCTAGAAGGAATTACTCCAGAAGAATGTTGGTCTGGTGTGAAGCCTAGCTTAAGTCATCTGAAAGTATTTGGATCTATTGCACATAGACATGTGCCAGATCAGTTGAGAAAGAAACTTGATGACAAGTCAAGTCAAATGATCCTAGTTGGATATCATTCGACAGGAGGCTACAAGTTGTTCGATCCAGAGAACAAGAAGATTGTGATCAGCAGGGACGTGATCATAAATGAGTTCAAAGAATGGGATTGGACTGCAAATGTCAAGAAAGATTCAGTGGGAATCTTATTCGAAGAGCCAGAAACTCAAGTCGAAAGAGAAGTTCGACAAGAGGAGCCAGCAGATATACCCAGTACAAGCAGACCTCAAAGAACAAGACGCATGCCTGCAAGATTGCAAGATTGTGTGATTACATCAGATGATGTAATAGATAATGAAGGTGAGCTGGTACATTATGCTTTCTATGCAGATGTCGAACCTGTTAATGCAGCTGAAGCATTAAAGGATTCGAAGTGGGTGAAAGCAATGAACGAAGAAGTAAAGTCTATCAAAGACAACAACACTTGGTCACTTGTCGAATTGCCTCAAGGCAAGAAGGCAATTGATGTCAAGTGGGTATACAAAGTGAAGACGAATTCGAAAGGTGAAGTAACTCGACACAAAGCAAGACTTGTGGCGAAAGGATTTCTACAGAAAGAAGGAATAGACTTCGACAAAGTTTTGGCACCTGTTGCTAGGATCGAAACAATCAGGTTGGTTGTTGGTCTAGCAGAAATCAACAGTTGGCACATATGTCAGATGGACGTGAAGTGTGCATTCCTAAATGGACCCTTAGATGAAGAAGTCTATGTTAAACAACCAGTTGGGTTTGTGAAACATGACGAAGAAAGAAAGGTGTACAGGCTACATAAAGCCCTGTATGGTTTGAAACAAGCTCCAAGGGCTTGGAATAAGAAAATTGATAGTTTTCTAAGGGAGAAGGAATTTGAGAAGTGCATAACTGAACATGGAGTATATGTAAGAAGAAGCAAAAGTAAATTGCTTATACTATGTCTCTATGTAGATGATTTGTTGATAACAGGTAGCTGCAAGAGTGAGATCGAAGACTTCAAAGTTGATCTTAGCAAGGAATTCGAAATGTCTGATTTGGGTGAGATTTCATACTTCCTTGGTATCGAATTCCACAAGACCAGTAGAGGTTTGATGATGCATCAAAGAAGATATGCAGGGGAAATTCTCAAGAGGTTTGAGATGGAAGAATGCAACTCAACTTCGACACCTGCAGAACCAAGACTGCAACTGTCGAAAGATGCAGATGAAGATGATGTTGATCCAACCCAATACAGAAGACTTATTGGATCATTGAGATACCTTTGTCATACAAGGCCTGACTTAGCATACAGTGTAGGTATGGTAAGTAGATTCATGCAGAAGCCAAAGGTATCACATCTAGCAGCAGTGAAGAGGATACTAAGGTATCTCAAAGGAACTTTCGATTATGGCATTTTGTTTCCTGCAGTTGATAAAGGAAAAGAATGCAAGTTAGTGGGATACACTGATTC